ATGCCTCCTGACTCCCAGCTCAGGGCCCTGGCCGCTAGGCCCTGCTGCCTCATTAAAGCGGGAGAGATGAAATTCAGCTAGCCCGCTTAGCCCAGCCTGCCAAAGGTTGGCAGAAGGAAAGCACGTTGTTCTCGCTACGATGAAGCTATTGCCAACATTGGTGTTATAAAATGCATGTGACTCAAATGTCATGTATTAAGGGGGGGGACACGCCAGCAGCCAGCTACGAAGAGGAATCTTAGCCCAACTAAATGGTCCCAGTCCGTGCTACAGCATTTCTTGCAGCTAATGCATTATTTCCCTCGGTTTTCCTGGACAGGCATCCTCTATGATACCTATCCCCTGTCGGCAGAAACCTGGCACACCCACCAGTTCAGCTTTATCAAGGTAAAAGGCTCTGCTGCTGTTCTCCAACGAGCAGCGTTCTTCATTCGTTATCTGCGTATTGCAAGCCCCCTGCTAGTGTTTCTGCAGCAGCGCCAGGCGGTTGGGGCCTGCTCAGACAAGGTGCTGAGCGCTCTCAGCTCCGGTTGGGTTTCTCTGGGAACTGAGGACACATCACCTGGCAGGGTCAGGACTGTCATTCCCCAGAGGAAGAGACGGCCTCTCTGAGCTGGAGAGTTAGATCTGTAGCCCACATCCAAAGCCACACGGGAGTCGTCATGAGATGGCACTGGCCCTGAGAGACTTGCTAGGATGAGCCTTTGCCCGTTGTTACGTTACAGCCATCAGCTTCTCCATGCTGCTTTGGGGCCCAGGGTGTTTTAGGATGTGGGATTTTTGCACGTAGCCCATGTTTGTCTCCTGTGACACCTTTCCTACCAATGCTACCCAAGAAGTGTTTTGCTGGAGTTACGTGGGAGAGGGACTGACACTAGCAAGGGACAATTGAAGCTTTCCGAGATTCTCTGAAAGGAAATGGAGAGGGGAGACGTAAGAGGAGGTTGTTCTAGATGGCAGGCGCTACAGTAGGGTGGCCAGGTGCCCGGTTTTTGACTGGAAAATCCAGTCAAAAAGGGGACCTGACAGTGTCCAGTCAGATCTACTGACCGGACACCCAAAGTCCAGTTACTGCACGCAGGAAGGCACTGGGTCATCACCCACTCCAGCCCCTACTCAGCCATTCCCAGACCCATCTCCACAGGCAAGTCCCTCCTGGCGGGGGTGGGGTGGGAGGGGAAAAGCAGCGAGAGACAGGCGGGGGGGAGGGAGAGGAGTGGACGAGGGCAGAGTCTCAGGAGAAGAGGCGGGACAGGGTGGGGCTTTGGGGGAAGAGGAGGGACGGGGAGGTTCTGGCACTCCTGCTGGAGAGTCCGTTTTTTAAATATTACAAGTTATCAACCCTACGCTACAGAAGGCAGGCTCCTGCCCCAGAAAGGGACAGAGAGGAGCACGGTGTTCAGGCCAGCCCCTAAATCCCATCAGCCTCCGGTTTGTTTCCCTCTTCCACAGGGTCACGCTTTCCGCTTGCTGAAAGCCGGCGGCGTGCTCACCTACTGCAACCTGACGTCCTGGGGGGAGCTGCTGAAGACGCAGTACACGGACATCGAGAAGATGTTTGAGGTGAGGAGGGGCAGAGGCTCGGAGAGCCTGATGGCAGACACGACCGCAGGCGAGGGGGTGCCAAACCCTGCAGTCGTTTCTCACTCACCCAAGGTGGCTGCTGACAGGAGCTTACAGATACCAGAGTCCTACCACCTGCCCGACTGTGGGTGCAGAGCTGCATTTAGCCTCGCACCTGCCATTCGGTTTGCAGACACAAACGAGCACATGAGTTTTACAGGCCTGGATTAGATCCACAGAAAAGCAGACCAGTCCTCAGCCCTTTGGAAACAGACCCTCCGGTAAATGGCCCGGTTATACAACAGGCAGGTGGTAACAGGAGCAGGAAGGAACGGTTGACAAGTAGGGCTTGGCGGGACCCAGTTAAAGGATACACTTCAGAAGCACTATCAAGTACAGTGGGTGTTTTTCCAGGGCCGTTCTAAAGCTTCAGCCATGTTAGCGGCTGGGGCAGAGTGGTTTTAACGTAACCAGACCGGTTAAACAAAGGGTTAGGCGTCGCGTTCATCGAGGATCACGTTGGGACGGATGGTGTGTTCAGTCCGAGGTGGCTCAGAACCTCACTGGTCTCTGTCTCACCTGTCCCTCTCTTAGGAGACTCAAGTTGCACCCCTGATGGAGGCAGGGTTCAAGAAGGAGAACATAAGCACCAGCACGATGGACCTGATCCCGCCCGAGGACTGCCGCTACTACTCCTTCCACAAGATGATCACGCCCACCATCCTCAAAGAGTGAGCAGCCACCCAGCACCCACTCCCGTCTCGCTCAGCTGCTGCGACAAAGAGCAAGGGAAGAAATCCCGCCAGCTGGAGTGAAAACGAAATCATCAAGGACTGGCTATTGCCAATCCAGGGAGGGGAGGAAATAGTCGTCGCTCTACAGTACTAATGAGGGAACATTAACATATCGATTGGACTTTCCAGGAAAATTGGAGGGCGGAGAGGATTTGGGAAAGTAGAGTTGGAAGTTTGTGACAGTTTAGAACTAGCACGTCGGTAGTGGACCCTGCACCACAGAGGGCCCAAGTGGCTAGGACTGGGATTCAGGACGCCTGCCTTCTATTCCCAGCGCTGCCACTGAGCTGCTGGTGCTTTGAGCAAGTCACTGCCCCCTCTGTGCCTCAGTTTCCCCATCCACAATACATCGTTATCCCCTTCCCCTCAATGCTTTGAGATCTATGGCTCCAAGACACTAGGTCAGAGCTAGGTGTTATTTGATCAAAGAAATCTGCCCCGAGGGCAGACCCCTTGTGGGATGGCCTGGCTGTGGAATTTCTCCTAAGTTTTTAAAGAACGTTTTTAGTGTGGGGTTTGACCAGCGCTCAGAGCCCTCGCTGTAGGCTCCACAGAGGTGGATTAAAGTAAAAATCAGGAGGGGACTGTAGGTAACTTGAATGAGGGATTTCCAAATCTAGGTTTCCTGTGGAACACTGTTTTTTTAAAGATCAAGACTTGACTCTCCACAACAAGCAGAGTAAAGTACCCTCCACCCCCGCGTTTAATTCTGAAAGCCTGACATTTGCATGTGTGTAATTAAATGAGTTTCAGACAACTCCCAGAGCAAATCCCGTGGGAATCTCTGCTCATATTTTTGGCTAATGGCCTGTTTTTAATTAAGATTTTGGTAACAAATTCTGATGACCTTCCTGGAAGTTTACCATTACATGAATAATTACCCACCTCGGTACATAGATGTGATGGACATGCTATTAATACGAACACTAAAGACATTAAATTGATTCAATCCACAGCTGAAACTTCAGAGTAATTTTCATTTTTTATAAGCTCATGTGTAACGCTGCAAAGGCTCTGTGCTCCTCATTACAGATGGCTTGAGGTGCTGGTAGCAAATCACCAATCTGTTTACTCTTCAGCAGCTCCTGTGGGCCTGATGTAGGCAGCCTAAGCTCGGCTTAGAAGCTTTCTATTCCTGTTTCATTTTCACAAAGGCCGCAGCCTTTTAATAAGATTGCTGGGCAAGATTCTAGATAAAGCAGGTGCCTAATTGTAGACTATGAGCCCACAAACCAAGACCCCATTGCGCTAGGGGCTGTACAAATGCATGGGCCCTGCCCCACAGAGCTTCCAATCTAAGACAAGAGATAACACGGGGATACTGACGGGAATGGGGGAGCAAAGAAAACAATGAGAATGTTGGTCAGCATGACAGGCAAGGGTCTCAGCACTTAGTTAAGCAACCAGATAAGAGGCCTGATGTACAGAAGTGCTAAGTATCCAACGGGATCTATAGCTCTAAAGAGAGGTCCAATACAGTCGTGTTGTATGCACAGACATTGAACGGGGAGGTAAATCCTTCTCTGTACAGCTCTGGTGCTGCCGTACCTGGGACATTGTACTAGGCATCACGTTATCAGAACAATGATGATAAACTAGCTGGAGTGCAGAGAAGAGCTGCAAAAATCTATCCAGAGGGACTAACTTAGCAGAACAGATTATCAAAGGGGTGGGAGGTAATGGGTTGGCTGAAGCGAGGACTGAAGATCTGTGATCAGTTCACAGATACGTGAAAAGTGTAATCAAAGATAGCAGAGATTTAGGGCGGCAAAGGGAGGTATAGAAGCTGCAGTAATGGGCTGAACTGAAGATGGTAAATGTTGATTTCGGTCCATATCAGCCACTGCTGGAGCTGTGCTTTTGCCGACGGTATCAAGCTCGGAATTTCGCACGCGAGGAAGTGGAGATGAGACTTCTGGGAGTTAGGTTTAGAGCAGGCTTGGGACTGATTTACCAAACGGCCCATCTGTGGCAAAGCTGGGGATACGTCTCAGTCCTGATCGCCACAGAGGGGTCAAAAAACCCCAAAGAAATCTCATCTACGCAAGCTGAATCCAAGCCGGTTCTCGTCAAAGAGGTAGGAGTTTTGAGGTACTTTTCCCCAGTTTAAAATCAAGCCAGGACTCTGTGAAACACGTGAAACTCACTTATGTATCTGCCTCAGCGTCTCTGGTATTAGAACTTGGTTTGGCCGCTTGCACAGTTAACACTATTTTACGTAAACAACATCACTACACAAGAGGGTCGTTTCCAGAACCTGCAATTTCCACTGCAGCCAATGGGTCAAACCCAGAGTCGCAGAAGGGAGGGAGGCTGCAGAACAGATTTGTTTGCCAACAGCGGATAACGATATGAAGAACCTCGTGGGCATGCTCTCTCCCCCGCATGAACCATTCAAGCCAGGAACCAGTGTATTCGGAATCCTATCCGATTTAATCCTTATACCCCTGGGGGGTATGCATGTGGGGGGAGGGCACCCAGAACACCTGGAGGGGGGGGGATTGGGTGAGTTGCAGGGAGTCCCTGAAAAAGAAAGGGATGGCTCCCAGGGAGCACCTGGGGGGGTGCAACGACACTAGCTATGAGGTGTGCCCCCCCCCAGTTTAAATAACTGAGTGGGGATGTTAAAGACAGGAGATCACATTAAACAGATGATGTTTATTGTGAGGCTTGTGCAGACCACAGCTGCAGTGTGCGTGACAATACAAATACATTTCTCTGTCAGGGAAGGGGGCGAATAGCGAGGTCATAAATAAGGGAGGCTATTTCCTGTACCAGATTTGAATCTTCTTCTCCCGCTTGATTTTCTTCTGCAGCTGCAGGATTCCATAGAGCAGTGCTTCGGCGGTAGGCGGGCAGCCTGAGGGAGAGAGGGAGAGCCTGAGAATTGTAAGCTCTTTGGGGCCGCGTTTGTCCAGTGCCTAGCACCTGGGGGTCCTGCTCCATGACTGGAGCTCCTAGGTGCTACCTCAGTACACATAATAAACATCAGCCAGCTGCACTGGGTGGGCTAAAGACACCAGTACTGGAGCTGACATACAAAAGGACCACTCAGAAAGAGATTGCATAAATGAATACATTTTAAGGCCAGAAGGGGCCCATTAGACCATCTAGTTTGACCTCCTGCATAGCACAGGTCAGAGAATTTCACCCAGTTACCCCTGCATGGAACCCAATAACTTGTGTTTGACTAAAGCATCTCCCCCAGAAAGGCAGCTGGTCTTGTTCTGAAGACATCTGTGGCAGTTTGTTCCAGGGGGGTTTAATCCCCCTCACTGTTAAGTTAGAAATAAGGCACAAAATTTTGCTCCTGCATTAAAAAAAGCAGCCCTCACAGAGGAGAGGGCTGTATTTTTAGACGTTAGAACTGAGATGCACTTGGAAAAGTTTTATGAATGTCACAACTGCTTTTCCTTGTAAATACACCTCTACCCCGATATAACACGAATTCGGATATAACGCGGTAAAGCAGCGCTCCGGGGGGGTGGGGCTGTGCATTCCGGCGGATCAAAGCAAGTTCGATATAACGCGGTTTCACCTATAATGCAGTAAGATTTTTTGGCTCCTGAGGACAGCGTTATATCAGGGTAGAGGTGTAACTTGGAACATCTTGACACAGAACATTCCTTCCTTGGGGAATGATGAATACCCAGACTGGACTGGATGCAATCGGCTGTATAGAAGTTACAAGGATTTGACTTTTCTCCCACTTCCTTGTTTGAACACAGTGTAACGAAAGCCTGAAAACGTAAGCGATGCAGCTTAAAACTTAAACAAAAGGCCCGTAAGTAACTACATACTGGCCAGGAGTCAGAACATATTACAATCACAGTCCAAACTAAACACAACGTTCGGTTGCCGCAGCTCTGCTCCAGCTTGCTGCGCTTAGAGTAAAGTACTGTAATCCCAGAGCCGAGCAGAGTTTCTTTTTACCTGGGACGTAGATATCCACTGGCACAATGCGGTCGCAGCCCCTCACCACGGAATAGGAGTAGTGGTAGTAACCACCGCCATTAGCACAGCTACAAAAAGACGTAAAGGGTTCAGTGTCCTTTGCAGTGCAACTCGGGAGCAGGAGGCAAGAATTACACAGAAGGCAAGGCAAGACTTTACGCGCGCATCGGAGATGCTGAGAGAACAGAGCCACACGGCAGTTAAAGCAAAAGACTTTAGAGCCACGGGCAAGATTCAGACAGTTCAGTGCTGGGTCAATATTGTGGCCATTCCACAGGAAAACACAGGGCTGAGCTCTCAAGACACAAGAGCCTAAGTGACACGTGGTTATCTGCACATGCAGATGAATAATTGTGCAGCAGTGCATCTCCCACAGGCCTGGCTTAGGCTCCTGGTTCTGAGAATCGCTGGACACCCCGGCTGCTTTCCCGACAGACCAGATTCTGAGCAAAGGACTTAAGAATTTCATTCATTTAAAAGAAATCTACGTTCGAAAAGTCTCCGTGTCAGTCACAATAAGAACCCAAACCTGCGTCACGATCTGTGCATACAAACAGGGTTTTAGAAACCAGCCTGGTTAAAATCACTGCTGCTCCTGCTGACGCGTGCTGCTCGTTCCGATACACGTTCTTAGGGTAGGTCTATACTGCACTCGCAGGTGGGATTGCAGCTCGTGTAGACACACAGGGAAGCTGCAGCAGTGTTAGTCATAACACTTCAGTACAGGCTAGTCCCATACCTAATTAGGCAGGGTCCTGGGCAGGTTTCCAGAGCCCACTCTGCAGCCCGTGCTGCCATAGCTTCACCGCTCCAGGACCTGAGCTAGTCAGAGTCAAGCTACCTCAGTACGCTTACAGGAGGCGCAATTACACCCACGACCGCATACCCTCAGTGAAGCGGTGCTGGCGACAACGGGAAGGGCAATTCGCACACCATTCATCTCCACTTGCCTACAAACGTCCGTGATGGAATCAGCCACACGGGAAAGGCCCATATATGCTACAGCGCTACGTATCAGTCCTTATGTTTACGAATCGCTACAGCGAGCGCCACTTTGCTGCCGCTGCCGGCAAGTCTATGGATCTGATGACACCACTTCTGAAAACAGAGACAGGGCTACTAACGCGTACTGGGATCACAACCTAAGACTTACTAAGAGCCATTTCTTAGTGTGGCTGTAATTATAGCACAGATGAGACCGAAGGCCAAAACACAAGGGGTAGCCAGCAATGCTAGAAACATGTTTGTGAGTTTCCTGATGAAGGGAGAAGCCAGTGGGGAGAGCCCTGTGAAATTCTTTTTATTTTTAATCATTTTTTGTTTTTTCCCCCCAGGAATTTCATGTTTATCCATTTTATCTCCCAAGGAGGTCAGAAGGCCCTGTGGGGGTGTCAGCTCCTGCCCCCCAGGAGGTGGGTTGGAGAACGAATCTCCCCCACACTTGCCCCCCCAGACTCTACCCCGGGTGCAGTCTGAATAATGGAATTAGCCCCGTTCCTAACCGCGTCTGCCTCCCTATGCACCTGGACGCAGCACTGCCAGGTGCTAACGTCTGCTTCCACGTCACTGGGGTTACTCGCACCAGCAGAGGAGCCAGCTCCGCTCCGCTGCTCAGGATCTGCAGAAGGTGGGAACTGTCTCATGTTTTGTTCATTACGGATGATTAACGCTAGCCGCCCACTTTTCCCTTCTTTGGGATTTTTATAGGAGAATTTGGCGGCTCCTCCCCTCTGTAAAAAGAACCCTCCGTAGCTCACAGTTCAGAGTTCCGACTCCCAGAGAGGACACTAATATTAAAAAATATTCTAACCTCTCCCCCCTCACCAAAAGGGAACCTTGGGCCTTATTTTCATTCACACCGAGGCCTCTAGACACCGTGTAAAGGGCTGGCCACACGAGTGAGAAACAGGCCCTTTATCTACTGACTCAATACAGGCAGCGGCAACTGATTTCCTTCCAGCAAATTGTAAGATAATAAGGAAGCCTCTGGCATTTACCTTCCCATGGAGACCACGTAGCGTGGTTCAGGCATCTGGTCATAAACCTGGAGGCGAGAGAGATTTCACAGTGAACTCCGTTTGCATCTGAGTTACAAAGCTGCACTTGCCAGTGCGGCCAGCATCCATACCTTCCGAAGGGCTGGGGCCATTTTGTTGGTCAGAGTGCCTGCCACAATCATGACGTCCGCCTGCCGGGGGCTGGCCCGAAACACCACCCCGAAGCGATCCATGTCGTAGCGAGGAGCCGCCATGTGCATCATCTCCACCGCACAGCACGCCAGGCCAAAGGTCATCGGCCACAGGGAGCTCTGGGACGGCAGAGATCTGAGTTAGGTTACGGGACTGGGGTCTGCAGCACGGAGACCCGCGTGGGCCGCTCAGAATGTTTCAAGGGACAGTAAGTCGGGGGGTAGGGAGTGGGTATGGCAAAGGTGTAGGACATGTAGTGCTACAGATGGATGTGGGCTTTGCGTCACTGAAATGCAGCCAGATCTGGAACAGAGGGGCAGCTGTCAGCGCACAACAAATTGCACAAGGGCCCAGGAGAATGGAGAAAAGCGATCTTGGCCAGGATAAAGCCTTACTCTCCAGAGCAGAGAGACCGCAGTTTAAGGTGTCATCTATAGAGCCCCACGCTATAGCCCACGAAAGCTTATGCTCAAATAAATTCATTAGTCTCCAAGGTGCCACAAGTACTCCTGTTCTTTTTGCGGATACAGACTAACACGGCTGCGACTCTGAAACCTGTTAGATACGGATAAAGAGCCAAGAAAGCGACATTTGCTGGAATATACAAGGCAGGAGGGAAACCACAGAGGAACAGGGTGACTCTCTCAGCACATATTTAAGCAAGTTTATAGCGCCTTCAGATTAAGACGTTAGTCATCTGTCTGAAGCAGGAACTCCCAAGCCCCCAGCTCTGGCCAAGGAACATGCCCTATTTCATTGCAGGGTACCAGAGGTTTTGAACTCGATTGCTGCCCTTTCGAAGAGACAGGCTCATCTACCTTCCCGCGAGCACGCCGAAGCCTTTGTTACCCGTTCTCGTTTACAGGCCACGGGCGCTCCTGGCCACTCACCCTACGAGCCCAGTTGATTAGGTCATCGAGTTTGGTGACAACATACTCTCCCCGACTGGTAGGGACGTAGGATTTTTTCTGGACGATGGTAGTGCTCTTTTGCCGGACCTGGGAGGGGCTGAGAACAAACAGCATGGATGGCAACACCAGCTTACAATCTACCCGGTTATTAACAGAGTCACTGACTAAGGTGTCTCAACTCTGAGGACATTCGATCCCCTGAAGAGGCTGGAATAAGCTCCTCATAGTCAATTCAATACCAGCTGCTGCTGCTAAAGATGGCACAGTAGGATGAAGGCAGACTCAGCGGTCATCTTTGGACCAGCCAGTTTAAAATCCAGAGGAAATCTCACAATACCACTCCATTTGGCACAATAAAGGCTGTCTGGTCAGGGCTGGAAAGGCAGGGGACGGTGCAGTTCAGGACCGGGATCTCCTGGCAGACCTGTGCATGGGATCCAGGATTGGAAGAGCAAATCACAAGGAAGGTGCTCTGGTAAGGAGCCGGTGGTCTGGAATAGGCGGGGATACTGCTGGCCAGGTCAGAGGGAAGGATGGGAAAGGATGCACCTGGCTCAAATACCAGTGCTGTTTGTCCCCCGCTTTCACAAGCATTGGAACTCATCCGCAAATTAAAGACCAGGATTCCAGTCGATGAAGAAGAGGAGCACAATACATAGAATATTTGTAAATATCACTCATCTGCCTTGTGACGCAGGCGGCTGAAGAGGGCGAGGGTTTTGGGTCAGAGGCTGTATATGCTGCATCGAGTTTTGTTTCGAAGAGTTCTAATCGTTAAAAATAGCACGCCAGGCCGCGTGCTGAGAGAGCTCTATGCTGTTCAAACGAGCAGACTCCACATAGTGGGGAGAAGCCCAAATATCATGGAATCTGCTGCTCAGACAGGGAACCTTCACTACACTCAGGCTACCTGGCAGGCTCATCTCTAGGACCCAACACCTTGCCATTTAATACTGATTGCTAAGAGGAGAGAGAAACGGGGCTTTCTTCGGCCATACACCAGAACGGAGCTGTAGCACACAGACATTCTTTCCTGTATCACTTGCAATCTCCCACCTGAAGAAGTGACACTCAGCTAAAGAACTTAGATGGTAGCGTGGCGTTACCTGTCAGCATGGCCGGTTGCTGGCGTCTCATGGAGTGACTTAGCATGAATAGGAGTCACAGCACTGGGCCTGCAAAAATGAACACAGCCAAACATCATGGTGCAGCAGCAACACTTTGCCAGCCATGTCATCCCTTCCATCCTAGGATCTCACAGTGCTTTACAGATACTATCTAATTAAGGCCCTCAGCCCTGTAAAGCATAATACCCCCATTTACAGACAGGTAAACGGACCAATGGAGGAATTAAGTGTTCTGGCCAAAGTCCGTGGCAGAGTGAGAACAGAAGCGGAGTCCTGACTTCTAGCCCTGTGATCTAACCACGGGGCAACATTTTTCAGAGACCCTCTCACAATCAGACAAGTCAGGCTTGTTTCCCTGAATGTCCGTTAAGAACTTGTGGTTACTGTCTCTATACGAACAGCAACAACTCAAGCAGAGAGCTGTGCAGCTGCAATCAGCGCAAATTCACTCTCACTTGAGGAGAAATCGATTAAAGGATTAGGGCTGTGGAGACGGCAGATTGGAAGGATTCACGAGAAAGGCATGAAGAGGGCTGCAAGCAGCAAAATGATTTAATCCATTTTGCCTTTCTCCCCCCGACACAAGTAAGTTTCTTCTCTGTGGTTGCTCAACCAACCAGGTGCTGCTACTTACCGCAAAAGAAATATCCCAACCCGGGCCAAGCGAGGAGCTGTGAACAAAAGCCACAGGGCAGTTTACCTTTAACACAGCCAGAATCTCAATGAAAGATGATAACGGTGCTGCATTGCCATCCTGGCAGCAGCATTCCACTAAGTGTTCTATTCCTCCCCCAAGGCTCAGAGCTGAGGATAACGGGGGTGGGGGTGGGGGCAGGGGAAGGAGAAGTGGGATGTCCAAGCCCCAGGTAGGAGGTTTAATACTGACCAACCTGCCTCATCATCATTCGCAAATGGGTATAATTCTGCACCGATTGGAAAGCTCAGCAGATCTCTCAGTCATAAAACTCTAACTCATTCCCCTGTATTCCCCCCAAAGTCACATTATCCACTAAAATAAATTAGCCCTTAAACCAAGCAAAACAATAAATAAATAAATGCACACACAGGCTGGTGCTTTTTTAAATGTCAAGAACAATGCACTTCAAGAAAGTGTTACCGCACCTCTGTCCAAATCACAAGTGTGATTAAAAGAAAAGAGTGCCTACAATTCACTGCCTTGGGCAAAAGGAGGTCAGTGACTTAAATGACACTCTTTCAACGGTCCCTTGAAATTGTTAACTACTTATGCTAAACAATCTGTTCCACCTTGGATTTAGCCGTTAGTTTCCCAAACCGGAAGAAGAGCTCTGTGGAGCTCAAAAGCGTGTCTCTCTCCCCAACAGAAGTTGGTCCAATAAAAGATATTATCCCACCTGCCTTGTCACTATTTCAAACTGTCTCGCACACTGACAGCCCTGCAGGTAGCACTGCGTGGGTGGAAGTAAGCAATCTAGTACCCATCTAGGGTCGGGAGAGCGGCCTAATATTTGGGGAGCCTAGCATTTGCCACTCCCCGAACCCAGTTCAGAGCCTGCTGTGGTGCATTTCTCAGTTTGCTCAGCGCCCTGAAGCCTGTTGATCAACAGCCCAGGACTTGCCACCTGTGTGGGTTTGTCAGACAAGCCGCACTGAGCTGTCACAACCCCGCTGCAGGGGTAGCGGTGCCCGCACTGGTCCCCAAGAGATCCCAGAGGATCAGGCTGCCAGGATCCATGTGTGGGCTGGAGGGAGGGGAGAGTTACTTTCCAGGCACTTTACAAGAGGGTCCTGCACACTGAACCTCACGCTTCCTCCCAGCCGTAAACACCACCCCGCCAGGGAGACGCACCACCCAGACCCCTAAGCTGGGGGGCAGAAGGGGGGGGGCTTCCTACCAGAGAGGTTGGGCTGAGCCCACTGGACAGGGTCCCCCCCACAAGACAGAAGGGAAACAAACCCCCTTTCCACCTTCTTCGAGGGGGCTGCCCTGCCCCCCACCCCACTCCCAGCCCCCCAGGCAGGGAGGCTGGCCCCACACGTGTCCTAGACGGGGGGCTCCCCCACCCTCCAGGGAAGGGGGGGTCGCTGCCTCCTACCCCCAGAAAGGGGAGGGGCTACGTACGCCCCCTGCTGCCCCCCACTCACCAGCCAGCGCAGCCATCTCGCCTCCAGCCCTTCAGCCAACCTCTGCCTGGCAGGGGCCGTGCACCCGCCTAAGCCATCCGGCGGGAGCCGGTGCAGCCCCACTTCCGGTCCCCGGCAGGCCGGGGAAACGCAGGGAGCCCCCCCACGGTTCCGCCTGTCTCAGGGGTGTGTGTGTGTGAAAGGAGGGGTCTGTGTGAAGGTATCTGTGTGTGTGTGAAAGGAGGCGTCTCTCTCTCTCTGTTTGTGTGAAAGGAAGTGTCTGCGTGTGTGTGTAAGGAGGTGTGTGTGTGAAGGTATCTGTGTGTGTGTGTGTGAAAGGAGGCGTCTTTCTCTGTGTGTGTTTGTGTGAAAGGAAGTGTCTCTGCGTGTGTGTGTGTAAGGAGGTGTGTGTGTGTGAAGGTATCTCTGTGTGTGAAAGGAGGCAGGTGTGTGTGTGTGTGTGTGAAAGGCTGGCGGCGCCAAATTATTTGCAAAGGGGTGTGGGTGTTCAAAAGGTGAGGCCAGGCACGGGGACTCAGATCTGCAGCGCGGGGGGGCCGAAGGGGCGCAGAACACGTGTGCGTGGCACCCACTTGTGCCAGACACTTGCAGGGGGGTTGTTCGCAGCGCAGACTGGGCACAGGATTAGCGAGGGGGTGCAAAGGGGACACCCAGCTGCCCCGGCTTGGGGTGTGTGTGTGTGTGTGCAAAGAAACACATTCTCGCTCCTGGCGCAGCCATCTTGAGTAGGGGCAGCTCTCGTCTGGCTGCTCACTGACTTCCCTCCCCCACTTAGTGTCCCACTCAAATGCTACCGCCCCTCGTGCAAAATGCAGCCTCCCTTCCCCTGTCCTTCAGGAAGGGGGTTTATTTCCCTTGCACAAGCCACAGCTCCCCACTCGCAACCTGGGCCGTTCCCTTTGCATCCCCCCCACACCCAGCCCCAGCCCCAGACCCAGACCGTGCCTCAGGGCTGCTGGGGGGCAAAAAATGAGAACCGCGTCCCTGGGTGGGCTCGAACCACCAACCTTTCGGTTAACAGCCGAACGCGCTAACCGATTGCGCCACAGAGACCGCGCTGCTCAGTTGTTTTCTGCAGCCCCCTAAGATCTTAAATTCATGCCCTGCTCTGTACCTACCACTTAAAGGACTTTGCAAAACGAAGTGGCAGAAATTATTCCAGGGCGAGCGAGGAAGGGCTGGACTGGAAAAAGGACGGGCCTTCCTCAGCAGCTCGCCCAGTTGCCTGATCCCTCCGATTCAGAGCCCCTGGGTTTGCAAGGCTACAGCTAATACTCCTGGGGAAGGGACAAGAGACTTAGTCTCCAAAGAGGTGGTGTTTTTTTTCATGTGCAGCGTTGTGATCATTAATACCAATAAAGAATGTTCTGATTAGCCATGCAAAGCACCAGGGCTCTAACTATAGACTAGATTCCAGGAGGAGGTAATTCCCTAAGGAGGCCTGGCCACTTGGCCCCTCCTAGTTATTGCCCAGGGGGTGAGCCTGATGGTGTCAGGGCCGCATGCAGCCTGTGGCCTTTAGCTTTGCGGGGCTCCCAAAAGCTGGGGGGGGGTCTTGTGAAACCAGGCTGAGGTGCTGCTGCAAAGGGAGGAGATTGTCTTGCGCCCTTGTGTCCCTGTGAAAGACGTGGGTGACACCTTCCAAGGAAAGGGGCCTTTTTGCTTGTGGGCTGGCACATCCCAAACACGGGCTTACTTTCGCCACAACTTGCTGACAGTCCGACAAACCATTGGTGCAGCCCCAGGACACTGGATTAGGTGACAGGCTTCAGAGGGGTAGCCGTGTTAGTCTGTATCAGCAAAAAGAATGAGGAGTCCTTGTGGCACCTTAGAGACTGACCAATTTATTTGGGCATAAGGTTTTGCATAACTCACTTCATCAGATGCATGCAGTGGAAAATACAGTAGAAATATACATACATACAGAGAACATGAAAAAATGGGGGTTGCCATACCAACTCAAACGAGACTAATCAATTAAGGTGGGCTATTAGCAGCAGGAGAAAAAATTTGTAGTGATTATTTTTCTCCTGCTGATAATAGCCCACCTTAATTGATTAATCTCATTAGAGTTGGTATGGTAACCCCCATTTTTTTCATGTTCTCTGTATATGTATATGTATATCTATATCTATATCTATATATCTTCCTACTGTATTTTCCACAGCATGTATCCGATGAAGTGGGTTTTAGCCCATGAAAGCCTATGCCCAAATAAATTTGTTAGTCTCTAAGGTGCCACAAGTACTCCCGTTCTTTTTGTATTAGATGATGGGCACATTTCATCGACTCCAGATCATCTCATTGCAGCAGCATGAGTGTCAGCAACCTCCTCTACCAGGGTGCAGGGCCAGTGGCCAGAACCCCAGAATTTGATCTGATTAAAAAAAAAAAGAAAAGCTCTCTGTGGGATTTGTGTTTACTCCCTCACTGCCCCCACAGTCCTATGCTTTGCTCACTTGAGAAAGCCTGGATGACTGTCCCTCTCTTCCTTCAGTTGGTCTTGCATCTGAGCAGCCAGCATTTGCAAAGAAGTAAGGGTAGAAATATGGCCTATTTTCTAGGGACATATTTCATATATATATAGCCAAATTTTAGCCCCCTCTCCCCACACATCCGCTGCAATCTGCTCCCCCAGCCCCAAGAAAACAACCCAAGCCTCCTCTCTTCTCACCCACTTAATTAATCAGCAACAACGTCAACTGTACTGGGACGGGCATATCTGTCCTGCATGTCTTCCCTGGACTGGCTTGGCCAGTGTCTTCCTTGGTTGTGTACAGCACTGCACGCTGATGGCTATCGAATCAAAGAAGAAAGTAGACCTTTGCATACATGGGCAGTGGGCTACATAGGCAAACACCAAAGCACTTGATCAATCTGAGTCGGAGA